TGGCCCAAGACTGGGCAGTGTTTTGTTCTGTTGTGCATAGGATCGCTATGAGTGGGTACCGACCTGATGGCACCTAACAACAAGTCTGTGACTTCAGACAACTCAGCATGATCTTATGGGAATGTTCACTCTAAAACACCACATGTTTGCCCTGTGGTATAAAATAATCTTAGTCAAAATGATTTATGAATTATAACACAAAAACCAAACTCTTTGTGGTTGAGTTGATTTTGACTCATAGTGAGCCTATAGATAGAGTAGATCTGCCTATGGGTTTCCAAGGCTGTAAATCATTTTCCTAGAGAGAGCAACCTGAGAGTTCAAGATGCCACATCTTTCTCCCAGAGAGCAACTCAAGAGTTCAAGCTGCCACCTTTAAGTTAGCAGACACATTGTGCCACCAGGGCGCCTTTGAATAAAGTACTGTACAGATGTTAACTAAATCAAAGCATTCCAGGCTAACTTTAAGGGATTAAATAAAAATATCACAAACTCATGATTAAAGTATAACTTAAAGCACAACAGATGAAAAGGATAAACCATAGCTCCTTGCTACTTAGCAGCATCTGCAACACCTGGGAGCATGTTGGAATTATGGACTCCAGATTAATGAATCTCAATCTGCATTTTAATAATATCACCAGGTAATTTCTATACATATTGATAATTGAAGACCACTGTTCTTTAATGAAGGAACCTTGGTAAGGTGCTTGGTTATGTGTTGAGCTGCTAACAGCAACAGTAGCTGCTGTGTGGGAGAAAGATGAGGCTTTCAGCTCCCACAAAGACTTTGAGCCTCGGAAACCTTATGCAGGGTCACTATGAGTTGGAACCACTCAAGGGCATGTAGCAGCAGCAGCAATGGTATTTTTTAAATCTATAATCAGAAAGGTGCTGGAGGGAAAGAATACATTTTAGGACAGTTGATAGAGCTGAGAAGACCCAAAGAATGCCCTATGAAATTTGATATTTAAATTAGGAAGAATAATTTAAAGATGTTTATTTATAGATTTAGACCACTAGACTAAAAGGAGTCCTGGTGTAGCACTCGACTGCAAGGTCAGTGTGAACTGCAAGGTTAGCGGTTCAAACTCACTAGCTGCTCCTTGGAAATCGTATACTACATCAACAACAGACTAAAAGAGTCCCGGTGTGGTGCTGTAAGATAAGCACCGAACCACATACATGGTTGATATGTGTCAGAACTGACTCAATGGCAGTTAACAACAACAATAACACCAATGGTAAAGTAAAAGAATAAAAATGAGGGAATCTGTGTAGAAATGAAAGAATCAATTTAGAACACTTCCAAAGAAAAAGTTTATATGGCCTGTGATATTTTTGAGGAAGTGTTTTCAGAAGATATCCAAAAATCACTCAGTAATAGGTTACATCAATGTGGAGCAAACAGTTAAGTGCTGAACTGCTGACAGGTTGATGGTTCAAACCCACCCAGTAGCTCCACAAGACAACGACCTAGTGATCTACTTCCAAAAAGATTACATTCAAGAAAACCCTATGGGGGAGCTCTATTCTGTCACCTGGAATTGCTGAGTCAGATGCCTAACAACAACAAATCAACTTAGAAAATTTAGCAGAGATTTATGAAAATGAACAAATCCTATCAAAAATATAATTTCAATAATAGAAAAAACAGTAAGAATTTTATTTTGAGAGAGAAAATGAGAAATTATTTTAATATTCACTATGGATTACAAAAAAATATTGATCTGGAGCAATACTCCAGTTTCTGGTAAAAATAGTAAAGTTCATGATACCCAGAGTATGTTGCTTCACAATAATATTTAAAAAGCATCTCAGTGTCAAGTAATCTTAAAAGAGACAAGAAAAATGCTAAGGCAGGGAAAGAAGAGTCAAATGGTTTGAAAAGGAAAATTTTAAATATATGGAAGTGTGAATTGCTAATGATAAAAACTAAAATGACAAGAGTAATGCCTAGGCTGCCTATGTATGACTGGATTCTGTATGCAGATATACAGAATCCAATATTTCACAGTTACAGAACGTTAAGAAAATTTGGAATCATTTTAGGGTCTCTGATTACATACATCTCTCACAATTTAACAGTGAAGACCTAAGAAGTAAAGTGACTAATTTCTTTGCTCTTTTATTTGTAGGACTCGAACCAGATGCTTTTATTCCAATAAAATGCTGTTTCTAAAATGGAGTCAGGATTATATGCCTCTCATTGAAATGTATACCTCATATGCCTGAGGTATAATAAATATTAAAGGAAAGAAAGTATTTAAATATTCCATGATAATGCCAAAGATTCCAGTATAAAAGTCTGGAATGGTAGGTTAAAAGGAAATGGGAGACCTAAGGCATTACTAAAAATTACTGGTTTCTTCCAATGTAAATATTATTGTGTACATTTCTTATAATGTTGCCTTTTTGCCTGAAAACATTTATTGAATTACACTTGCACTAACCATCTATGGCATCTCCAATCAAGGAAATGAAGAACACCTATTGTTAAAGGTGGGTATCTCCAGTAAAGATTTACAGCCTCGGAAACCCTGCACAGGGTCGTTATGAGTCGGAACCGACTCCACGGCACATAACAACAACAACAACAACAACATCAATAAAGAAAGAGAATTGGCAGTACCAGCACCTACCCTGGCTCTAGCATCAACAAGGGCGCCATTTCTCAGGAGGCATCGGACAACTTCCACCTGCCCCGCTCGGGCTGCCATGTGCAGTGCAGTCTCCCCACGCTGCCAGGAAACAAAGATGGCTGAATCATAAATAAACCCACTGCTCCCCATGGTAAAGAATAAAAATGTCCCATTTTGTGAAATCCAGCAACATATCCAAGGATTTAAGAGATCTATATGAAAAGGCATATTTAGTATAGTTTCAATTTTTTCTGTCTTCATAAAGGATAAAACATGTCTTTTATTTTTCTGGTCCATGACAAACTTATGCACTTACCCATATCCTGTGGTTTAACTTCTCAATCAACTTAGCATAACTTAAATTGTTTTTGATGATGATTTTAGAGTTATTCTATATGTCTATTTATTATATAAACCTAAAATCTGTCATTGCACACCTAAGTATATTATCCCAATTAAATTTCATTTTAAGTTAAAAAAAAACTCTACATACTGAAGATCAAGTCAATATATTGTAAAAAGTCACCTGACTTATACCATACCTAAATCTGTGGTGGTTTTGATGTTTTGGGGAGTTTTTTATCGTCCAAGTATATCTCTGAAACAAACTATTTACTTTGCATCTGACTTGTCTTTGTGCTATGAGACTAGATTATCACTGCTGATATAAGAACTTTGATTTGTCCTGGAAGCCCCATCCCCCGTTTGATATTAACAAACACATTTAATAATAGACAGTTATTTGAGAGAAATACTGAGAAATGAATACAGCAACTGTTAACAGTGTCATCCATTCATGGCAACACTGGCTATGACATCACTCCACAGGTATCTTCAAGCTGCATTAAGGAATGACAAATTTATTGGGAAGCAGTAGCTCAAGCTACAGCATGAAGGAAGAATGTTACATGTAAGAAAAATTTCTCATTGGGAGGCCTGTTAATGCCTGATGCTAGGAGAGTTGTGTTTTATTTTTATTTTTTTTAAGTCAGCATATTTTAAAACCATAGGTAGTTGTTCTGAAGAAGGCAGAGTTTCTTTTATTCATATAGGTTTACAGTTATAAAAGGAGTCCTGGTGTAGTGCTGTGCGTTAATGCACCAGACTGCAAAGCTGTTTGAACTGCAAGGTTGACAGTTCAAGCTCACCAGCTGCTCCTTGGAAACCCTATACAGGGTCGTTATGGGTCAGAACCAACTCGACGTCACTTAACAGCAACAGTTATAAAAAAATAAGATATGAAAATAAGTGTTACATATTCATTCATGGCAACTATACAGGAATCCAAGTGTGGTGCTGTAGGATAATGACAACTACTAACCACAAGGTTGGTAGTTCAAATCCACCAACCACTCCTTGGACACCCTATATAGGGTCGCTGTGAGTTGGAACCGACTCAATGGCACTTGACAACAACAACATAGAAAGTATGCTAATTTCAACCAAGTTAAGCAATTATAACCCAAGTTCAATTGCAAGTTTCCCTATACAACAAACACTTAAATTTAGAAGCTTTGGTGTGTACTTTATTTTGGTACATACCTCTCAGTTAATATGTACCAGTTTTCGGAGAACTATTACTAACGAAGGTATTAGAAAGACTTGCTTTTGAAATTATTAATTTGTACATCTACTGTAGCTTTCTCTTCTTTATGACTTGTTTACTCTCTAATGCCTTATTTTGATGACATATAAAATTTTTTTATCAAATAAATGTATTTGGAGCACACTGTTTTAGAAAATAAGAATGGAAATATCTGTTTTTAGACTTAGGATCTTGTCAAATATAGCAAAAGTTTCCTCTTTGGACAACCGTAATTTTTAACTTGTTTCCTATGTCACTTAAAATCTATTTTAAATAGATGAGATATTCTAAGTTAAAGTAAAACAAAAAACAACCCTTGAATCTTCATTCTATTCCTAGATCTCATAAAATTATAGTGATTTTACTCATATTGATAGAAATAAAGACAAGAATCAATTTACTTACAAGAAATTAAGTTAAAGAAAGGTGCACAAAGTTCCTACTTAACGATGGATAGAAATCTGTATTTTATCTCAAGCTTATCGAGTAAGAGGTTTTTGAAAATCTAAAAATGTACACAATATTAGTTTTAGTATTTCCAAAACACTTATTTTACATTTTAATTTTCTTAACACATGAAATTAATTAAATTGAAAACTTTATCTAAAATACTAGAATTTTTATTCAAAGAAAAGTTATATGCATACACATGGTTTCCCTACTTTATAAAAATGCTCTTGCTTAGTCTTTATTGAATGATCCGGATAATCTACTTCCCTTTACCTTTCTATAAATATAAATAAAACAAATGATAGTGTCCATTGCTTTAATTAGTAACTGTCATTTCTTATATTTTTTAGGCACCCCATCCTATTCAACAACCCTGTTGTTTTTATTTTAAGCTAATGAACTTTAAGAGTTGGGGAAAACTTTTAAACAGAATGTAATGTTAATGTTGTGAATCCATTGATTTGTTATAGGAAGAGGAGAAACTTTGTAACACCCTCACATTGTACTCTTGATAACCTTGAAAAGTACATAATTTTCTATTTCAATTGGTCAGTCAGTGAATACTTCATATTTTAACTGGCAGTTTAGTTTTGTAGGCTCCAAAGTGCATTTATAAAGTTTGTGGAAAGCAGTTTTCCAATTATAATATTTGCTCATTGATTGAGTTATTGGTACACCTCAAATGTGGAGTGATTGTTTTTAGACAAAAGCAAGACTGGCAAGAGAATGTGTGTGCTGATGTCCAAAGCAGGTATTACGTTTCATGCCCTTCTCAGTTGTTACAACTGACTCTGCTGACAGCTACATTGACGCCCACACTTTGGCTGCTTCAAGTCAGAAAGCATCAAAGCACAACAGACAGCGTTGCATTAAAAAACACAACAAAATTTCAAGCAACACACAAAGGCTCTGACGGTGAGGAACTTTGGGGTCAGGAAATGACCAACTCTGACACAGCAAGCAGGCAGTATTCACACAGTATCATAATCAACCTGCAAGGACTTTTGGATTCAGTGACTATCTCATGATCTAGAATACACAAAGTCACAAGCATTCCACCACTAAAGAAAGTTCCGTCCTTCAAATGTAGCATCACCAGATGTAGCTAATAGGAATGTAGAATGATCAGTTAAGTTTGAATTTCAAACAAACAACAAATAATTGCTGTAGTATAAGTATGTCCCAAAGCTTACATGGTTATATTTATGTGAAATAAAACTATCATTTATGTACAATTCAAATTTAATAGGGAATTGTATAGTTTGTCTGGTGTTCCTATCTGTGTGGTATCATCTTAAGAAAACAAAATGAACAAACAAAATCAGCTAAGAAATTTGTTGGGGAATCATTTTATTATCAACTGTCTCTCAGAGGCTGTTTCAGGGGTATTGAAGAGACAGAGCTTATAATTGACAACTGAACAAATAAAGCAAAATAAGGAACTTTACAATAGCACTTAAAAGTTTGATATAGTGATCGTGAATTTTGGAAATGTTTAAGAACCAAAAATAATGTGAAAAATGTATGGTTTTGTTTAACATTTAATTTACTTTTCTCTGAAAATTCACATGTAGCCTATCTAGTATGCTAAAAATAGCATACAAATGGTATATAGCTTCTTCTCCCCCCCCCCACACACACAGAGGATAGCATGTTGTGAAAATATACCTTTAAAAATTTTAGCATGGGTCATGCAAGAAGCAAATTAAGACTGGCTACAAAATCCTACAACTATTTGATGTGAATTACTCTTTGAAGATTTTGTAAAATCTCCCACCAAAAGATTAAACTAGGGAATTTCAGCTAAGCAACTCATAGAATATACTTGTATATATTACTATTATAACATGATAATATAATTTAACACAGTATCTATCACCACTGCTGTAATCCTTATGCATTGGGGTGCACACAAGGAAAATAGAAAACAGTGGATATGTACATGAAGTACATAGCTTTCCTTGAAAGCTATGGCCTATTCTTAAGTCTGTATAGGAGGAGTCAATTAAAAAGGCATTCAATGAATGGACTATGCTGATTTCTTTAAAAGTTCTAAGAACCAACTAGAAATTAAACACCAGTCAGACAGTTTTGTACTTATTCTTACGTTTAATGGATTAATTAAAGGTTGATTATGAAAATATATAGACATAGACTTTATATTTATATGCTTAAAGGTTTTATGCTCCAATTATTGAATAATATGATGAGAGAATATTAACTAATATTTGAAAACAAATAAGTTTATTTCAACAATCGATTTTGCTCAGGCATCAGAAACCTCAGCAGAAAAAGTATGCAAAATGTAGATTAGATGAGAATGAAGTGGGAATGTAAGTAAAATGTGAAATTTGAAATTCTATTTCATAACTCCAATGGAATGAAATACCAAAAATTAGCAACAGGGATCAGTTAAACATAGTCTATTTAAATAATAAACGCTAATATTTATTTAGGGTGAGTTATTTCTACTGCATATTTTTGTTGTTTGCTTGATTGTTTCCAAAGCACAATATCACAGTGGTCCCTTCAAGCTACACATAAGTGACTACATCTTAGGCTGAGTGAGAACTCTTGCTCAGGAGAAATTTGCATTAGGGGGTTTGCCATGATACTATGAGTAGGCAAAGTGCAAAGGAGCAGAATTCAAGAAATTTAGAAAAATATTAAAAATTAGAAGTATATATGGTATTCTAGATTAGGTAGACAATCTCTGAAATATATCATATTGCTTGATAGAGTGAAAATTGCCTGGATTCATTTCAGGATACATAAAAAAAAAAAAATTGCAATGGCAAAAGCATTTTATATAAGAGGCCATTACTTTGGGGGAAATATATATATATATATAATAAAAATAATGTTAGAAAATTGAAATTTTATGTAAATGGTGATTTGATACCAAGTAAAAATGCTTAATATTGATGTGTCTCTAGTCAATCTTTTGATATAATATATCATATTGACTCCAGTGTTTTAGTATTTTAACTAAAATTACTTAGAATACAATTCATTCAAGCAACTGGAATAAATCCTGCAGATTTTATTCTAATCAATCATCCATTCAGTTTCAGGGATCTTTTGAAATGTATCTGGTTCTAATAAATGCACTTATGATGTATGTTCAATCCATCCGTAATGAAAGTTTGAGCTGTTTTATTCCACAGCTTCCATTTTGTTTTTGAACCTATTTTTACCCTATTGAAGTTCTAGCAATTATTTTAAAATATAATAGCTAATAGCTCGGTTGCTCACTTTGATCACACACATACACACACACACACACACACACACACACACACACATTCCTACACATACCCACACTCTCTGTTCCTCTCGCTCTTTCTTTCTGTGGTTATTCTAACCCAAGCCATACTCACAATGTTAGTGACATCTGGAGAGGCTCCGTTCTGCAGCAGAAGGAGGACAATGTTCAAGTGGCCCATGAAGGCAGCCACATGTATTGGTGTGAGGCCAGACTGCGAAACAAAGCAACAGCAGTTTTACTCCTCTGCACCGGTGGGGGCTTTGGGCTTCTTTAGATAAATAAAACTTGAGTGAAGAGGACAGAAAATGGGTGAAAGGAAGAGGAGGGAGGAGTATGAGAAGGTATGTTTCGTGACAAGCTGAAACATTTTTCTACCTCTGTGATAGCTTGGATTGAAGCCCCATATTTCACCAGCAGTTCCATGACTTTGATGCGGTTTTTCTTGCAGGCAATGTGCAGTGGAGTAAAACCATTCTGTGCAAAAGACAATCAAGTTAGTTGAAAACATGCAGATACGATTCTCACACAACTCCATGCTGGCACATTGCAGGCAATAATGTTACATCGTCACAGCGTTACCATTTCCTCCAACCCTGTAGGTGTTGGGATTTGGAAAGAAAAGAAGCCATGGTGTATTCCAGTAAAAAATGAATTTGCCGATGTGTGGTGTACCCGTATGTAATAGTTTGATTAGTTACAAAGAACACAAAAGTGAAGGACCTACTCTGCAAACAAGGAAGTTAAGGAAGGCATTTCTATTTTAGAAGTCATGACACTGTAAGGGAAGCACTAGACAGCTAACCAAAAGGTTGGCGGTTCAATCCCACCAGCCACTTCTTAGAAACCCTATTCAGGGTCACTATGAGTTAGAACTGACTTAATGACACTTAACAGCAACAACAGCAACAAGATGTTCTAAGGAATACTGTTCAATCGTGTTGTGAAATGGTTTGAATATACATTGAGTCCAAACATGTATTTTCCTGATGAAGGGCCATTTCTTCAAAGCATAAGAACTGTTCATCTAACTAACTTAAAAAAAAGATATATGTTTCAACTTTATTACCATTCTTTAGGATAAAAGTGTTATAAATGAACAGAAATCATTAATTATGTTGATAATATTTTTATCTGGAAGTTATATTCTTTCAGTTAAAATACTTTATAGAATTTATGCAAATCAGATTATTATAGTTTAAAAAGAAATGATTATGAAGCTACTGAATATTTTCAGGGAAGGTATGGAAAATTTCTGGGATAACTGCAATGAGTTGCCTCTTACACAAAGGAATATGGAGAAAATGCTTGTAACGTGTTTTCTAACTTTCCAAACCAGGTGTAATATTTAGGTAAGAGCTTTGAAACTAGCCATATATTTAGTCTTTATGAATTATATTTAAGTTTCATTTTTATTTTAACAATGATTCTTTTGCTGAGATATGTCTATTCTGCCTGCTAATGGTTTTGCATGGCCCAACAGGGAAAGATCATCATTCAATACTTTTATATGATTGCAGTTCTTAGAAAAACATAGTGTGTTATAAGGGCTAATTGCTTATTACTTATAATAGAACTACAAACATAATTAATTAATATCTCAAGTTATTTCCTCTGTTTACAGGCCAAATAAGAAGCCACATGTATAGGCAGTGCATAAAATATTTGCAATTATTAAATTGTTATATTTTATAAGCCTATTAACCACTATGTAATTAGAAATGAGTATTTTCATTCTTATGAAAAAATATATTAATTAATATTAATCCTCATATAATTGCACATAATTTGCTGCCCATGGAATTAAGCACAAAATTATTCTAATGGAAAATTTCTAATACAAATAAACTTAATTTTTGCTACTGATGGCATTGTCTTGTCTTCAATGTTGAATGCTGAAACCTAATTTTGTCATAAACCATGTAAACAAATGGAAAAAAAAAGATTTTTCTTTCAGTATGAGAATTTGGAAACAGGAGGCATAAATTAGTACATGCCTAATACTTCCTATGATTACTGTTAGAATATAAGAGAAACAAGGAAGATGTATTCAATATTAGACCATAAGAGACACAGAATCTGCCCTATGGGCAACCTTTTACAGTTTTCTCTTGATCAACTCCTGAAATAGCTTATAGATAATGCTTACTGAAGCAGTTAGAAGCTAGGCATCACTTTTTTGTTAGCATACGGTTGGGCAATTAGGTCAATGAGAAAATATCCGAAGGAATTCTTCACAGGTTTACAGTTTACACTATCCTATGTATGCAGTTAAATATAGTCATTACTTTGAAATCATTTTTTGTCAAAAAACAGATGAATAAAGTTCAGCTTTTTCACACCTTTATATCTAACTCTGTCTAGAAGTATCTAGAACTTACAATGTTAGATCTTCCAGCTTTCATTTTATATTGAAAATTTCATATCACCACAGAAGATTCTTATCTGTTTGCAACACACTAGTTGCAGAAATATTATGTTGGTGTACTCTTAAATCTATCCTTGCTCACCATCACTTAATAGCAAACCATGAAGGCACGGATTAGACAGGTAGCTTGAGGAGTGTGACAAACTTAGCAAGCCTGACTACGTATCTTAGCCATGCATGGCTAGTGAATGCATCACTGGTCACTCAGTGTGGGTTTGCATGTCATGATCTGTGCTCAGTTAAGGTGACTGGCCAAGTTTACCAGGGCTCTTGCATTCGGATTGGCTCTCTTGTCCAGAAGGAGTTTAGTTACTCGGTAGTGACCACAGTGTGCAGCAACATGGAGGGCCGTCAAGTAGTCTAGGGTGACATCATCAACAGGCGCCTTGTGCTGTAGCAGGTGCTTCACACATTCCACATGATCCCCTTGTGCAGCCATGTGAAGTGGAGACAGCCCATTCTGTACATTAAAACAAAACCAAGTCAGGACTACATTTCAGTCATTGTTTCAAGGTTCCAAACCAACAAAATCAACTCTGGGTTTCTGACACAGTTGACTGCAGGGACAAAAATAGCCTCCATTTCTTGTCTGAACATACAGCATATGTTTGGTGGAGAGAGAAACTAAGGGAACACTTAAGTACAGAATTATGTTTTTCTTGGACAAAACAAAAAATTAATGTGCTTTCATGAATGAACACATAGTAGGTGTGCCCATGCAACCTGATTTCACAATTATTAGGGCTATATTACATATATTAATATAAATGATAGATGATACTTAAATTATTTGTATCTAATCCCATATACATCAATCTTAAATCCAATAAATCCTTCTGCCTGTGTTTCTTATACAATGGAAAGTGAGGGAAATGAAAAAGAAAAGATAGGTTGCCGGTTCAGGGAGGGATAAAGACTTTCATATTTCTTAGGTCCATGCTGCTTTGAAATTCTGATTCCTTTTTCTTATATTATGGGACTCCTGTTGTGATACTGTAGGATCAGCACTGGACTGTGAACCACAGGTTGGCAGTTCAAACCCACCAGCCGTTCCTCAGAAACCCTATACAGGATTGCTATGAGTTGGAACTGACTTGATAGCACTTAACAGCAACATACTATATGGAGTCCTGGCATGGTGTTACAAGATAAGCACTGGAATGCTAACCCCAAGGTCAGTGGTTTATACTTATCATCCACTCCTTGGAAACCCTATACAGGGTCACTATGAGTTAGGACTGACTCGACTGCACCTAACAACAACAATATTATGAAACTAGGAGTAGATAGGAAATAGATAAAATTTACAAGTGTGAGAGTAAACATAGAGCAAGTGTCAACAATCTCACAACTTGAACAATTTTAGGAAACTATAAATTTTTCATTTTTAACACTACCCCAAACTGCTTTATCTTGAATTCTAAGACAGTGTAAACAGCAGAAACACAAACTATTAGATAATTCACTGATAATTGTAAGACTACTAAGTTTTTGCTTTTTTTAGGTTAAATAAACAAATTTAAATTTTAAAAAAAGTAAATTAGAAAATTTTATTTGTTAAAGTGATTGGATTATTGTCATTTCTTATCATCTAACACAAGCATAGTCTAAAAAAAATAATTGTTGACTAAAGTTCTACCTTAGCAGTTATTACATTCAAAGAAATAGAATTTGTATTTGGATAAAAAGCCAGAAAAGGCTCAAGGCCCAATCATCTCAACAAATAAAGTAATTTCAACAGTTAGGGACAGGTAAAACCAAATTGTACATTAAAATCTTAATTGTGGTAGTTTGTGGATGGTAGTATTAAATATGGACTCCTGGTGTGGCGCTGTGGGTTAACGCACCAGACTGCAAAGCCATTTGAACTGCAAGGTTGCGGTTCAAGCTCACCAGCTGCTCCTCGGAAACTCTATCCAGGGTCACTATGGGTCGGAACTGACTCTATGGCACTTAACAACAACAACAATAAGTATTACATATATTGTGGATGGTAGTATTAGATATTTTCTTTGTTTTTTAAAATACTCTTCATTTCTAATTATTACTTTCATATTTATAAATCTATAAAGTGTTTGGAAAAGAATAGCAGGGTGAATGAGAAGGTAGCTGTATACTGAACAGAATGGTATAAGCGTAGTCTAAGGAAGTTAATTAAGGCCTTGTCAATGATGCACTGAACATTTGCACACGTCGCTCAAATATTATTACTCTTTGATGCTATTTTACCCACTCGAAGGATGTGCAAGAACAAAATATTCACTATTCAATCCTTTTCTTGTTTTAAAATATTTGCCAAGTGTCTACTATGTGTAGAACCCTGCTCTGGTTACTGAGGATACAGCAGGGAACACAGTAGATAGAAACTTCTGTCCTTGCGGAAATTACATTTAAGGGCGGCAGAGAGACAATTCCAAAAGATAAAGAAGTTAGAAGGTCATCCGTACTAAGGAGAAATGAAAGAAGAGGATAGTCAAGGGGGTTTGTAATTGTGAGTAAGATTTTGAACTAAAAACAAAACAAAAAAACAACTTCTTGATATTCAGTTGAT